AACCACCAGTATTGTCCAATTTCGAATACCCCATAGGATTTGTATGGGACTCGATGAACGTATTGGTTGACATGTCTTTCTGGCTTCTGACCATACGAGGAGTGTTCATTAACCAGGAAGAGCTCATTGATTTTTGTATTGGAATAAACTCTACAAGTGAAACAATGACAAAAACAGACTGAACTTTCGAGCTACTTTGCGAGCTAAATTTGTATGAAAATCTTGTCGATAGACAGCAACAATGAAAAAGAATAGGTCTGTTATTATCGAATTATGATAAAAACAAGGACGGAGTGGTTACCATGGGATTTAAAGCCCCGTCAAACGCCAAAATGCAATCTGTACTGTTTTAAAGGAACATAACGATGCTACAAAATATACACGGTATGAATTATTTCAATAATCGTCAAGTCAAGCATGCTAAACTGCCAAAAAGTAAGATCAGCTGTTCATGAGACCATTTTCGTAATGGTGGACAGAGAGCGCTCACGGTCGAGAGTTACCACAATGACTGTGCACTTCAACGGTTTTGTCCCCTAACCTGAAGGTCCACAGTTCGAGTCCCAGCAGCGGCTGTGAAAAGTACACACTGATTTCGAGTGCCGACGCAGACAGTAATCCAGTACTGTTTGTCGCCCATTACAAAGACAACCGGGCACTAGATGTGGGTTAACTTTTATCGACGAGAAACGAACTTCCAAGATAGATATGACACGTGACAAAAAACAANAAACAACATAGACCACAATAGTAGTAAGTTTACATCGTGTGAACGGACAAGATTGCACTTAATCCATGAAGTGTATGAATACCGACCGAAGAGATTCACAGACTGGCACAGAGATGAAAGCAAGTTGAAGATTAAGAACACCACTAGTGCGCTAATCGAATGGAGCGCCACAGTTCTATTGGGCATCATTGCAAAAAAACTTATGAGCAACCAAGATGATTAATGGGAACACTTACTTCACTATTCCGTTAGATCTTGAAAGATGTTTGTAAACTATGAGCAGTACTCAACGCGTACGTTTCCGTGGCGCAAGGTGAACCGCAAAGTGTGGGTAGCCGGGAGGCAGAATAAGTCAGTTTATATAGGCTGAGGGTGAGACAAGCCGATCCCCCCATGTATTGTCGTTTGATAAGGGACAGCGAACAGGGGATGGGCAGGCGGTCACAACACTGTCGTTTTCTGAGCGCATTGGAGAACCAATCAAATGCGTGGTTCTACAGCCGATGGCGCGTGCTCTTCTTGTTTGAATCATGGCGGATAGACAGGCAAACGCTCANGGTGAGCACACACGCACACACACACACACAACGCACATGCACAGCTCCCAGAGCAACTGGGATTTTACTTTCTCCCACACACCTGTAAGGGGGGTTGGGGGTGGGGTGGGAAAGGGAAGAGAATGAAATTGCTCGTTCCATACAACACCGAATTAATCTGTGTGAGACAGAACACACGTGGCTAATCCATCGAGAGAGGCGATTGTCCTTCACGCAGACCAGATGCGGGTCATCTGTCTCTTCCCTGAAGGGGCTATTGAGGCTTCTGTGTGTGTATGTGTGTGTGTTCGCGAAGCTTGGGGGTGGCATGGGCAGAACGGCGTGGAAGTGTGGGGGATACGATCATCTTAAACGGTTTGTGTATTCTAAGAACAGATATACAGAAAAAAATAAGCCTGGAGGTGGACCACTTGGATGCGTGAACACATCTACAAATGCATCTGCGGCCGGGTGCCCGCGTTTTGTGATACCCGGAATCAATGATGGGCATGAGAAACTCACGGGTACCCGGTGAAAGAACAACACATACACGGTACCGCTTGATCTGATCACATGACATCCTGTAAGATGAATTATATTGTCCCCAAGTTGTTATTTTGCATGTCATATTCGATACACATAACTGCAAAGTATACGCCCGATACAATACGGGAGAGAATAGGACAACAATGGGCCCCCGGGGTGAAATGCATTTTCACTGGTGAAATACGGACAGACAAGTTTACAATAGGATCAAACAGAATTTCTCCAACCGCCTCATTGCTCAAATGAGCATACCACGTGCTACGATGAATGCAGAAAAGTGAAAACAAACTATCTGTTACACATTATTTACCATTGCTAGGGATTAAACAATGCACGGTATTTGATTTATGCGTATGTCCTGTGAACTCTTGGAATGGTATTCATATATTGGAGCCACAGTAAATCCAAAAGCCAGTTTAAAAATATATATAAAGTATTGTTTGAAAATGGATGAGAGAGCGTATTATCTGAGAGGAATGCATTCCAGCACTGTCTCCCTTCTAACTGGTGGTGAAACGTTTGGATGTGCAAAGTGCCAAGCCTTGATTGTTAAGCCACCAACAGCACCAATACTCCAGGTACAATGAAGAAGATAGTTTAACACATTTATGGAAATGGCATGAAACGGTTAAGGCTAGCTGGCTAACTTGCAAACTGTTCGACAACCATTACACTGTCTACATAACATTATTACCCCCCACCCCCGCGCTCAGAGTGAAATCGGTGGCATCAACAATCTCCAGTCTATTGATGCCAATCCGCTTCCCGATATTTGGATACAGCGAAAATTGTAGCAAAGTATTTCCAGTTGCTTGAAAATATGGTCTCAGTCACCCCGGTACCAAAGAAAAGCTCTTCCACATCTCGCTCTAGCTAGAAAAAATTCTGACAACACAATTTAAGGTTCAAGAACCAAAGCATTACCCTTACACCCATTCCTGAGGTACCCGGGATGCCTTTGGTTTCCTCGTCCACTTTGTATTATCCTCCCTTGGTAATATAAGCAAAGTTATGTGCGTATGTTTTTTGAACTATGAGGATTTCTTCATTACGAACGATGGGGAACTATTTCCCAATAATATTCTTTCCCCTGGCGGCGTTCAGCCACCTATGATTGAATTGCTGACCGGTTATGCATCCAACCTTCAGTAGTTTAGTCAGTACCAAGGCATCGCCTCTGTTGCTCCCCACGCAAGGCCTACTACAAAGTGCTATTTTAGCAGCCATTTTTATTTGCCGCACACAATTCCCCTATGCTATTGGGAATTTCTTCGCTTTTTAGTGAATATCTGGATGATGTATAATTTGGCTTACCCTACGCCAATCCATTATCTCGACCTATTCTGCAGGTAGATGGGGATTGCGAATCGGTCCCATTATCGAAACCTTAGAATGAGTCCTCAAAAGAGTTGGGATATCATTTCCTCACCTTTTTGAGAGATGGTAAATACGATGAACTTTTAAATACCACTTCCTCGTAGTTATTTTAAATGGCCGGATGGATACACAACCATTTGTATATTGGCGTAATCACCAGATCTGACTTCGTCTCAAGTGTGTTGCTGAAAGTCAACAGGTTTTGCGTCTTCCTTGGTTTTCGTCTCGTTTTCTCCGGTATGTTGGTACACTGGCTTGGTGGTTTCCCTATTATCTTCCCCGGTTTATTTATAAAGGACCATAAACGTATTACAGATCCCCAGGTTTCTCTCGATATGTAACCTTATTCCTCGTGAGCACTTGGTACTCGTGAAATATTATCCTAGTTTTTATCTGACTGTCCTCCTCCCTTGTATACTGACTTGAGTCAGTGCCTTTCTTCCTCTTTCACCTGTTATTAATATCACACACACACACACACACACTGAGGCTCACAGGTGTTCTGTCGTTGTTCTTCATTTGGATGCATTTCTTGCAAACGCAGAACTCGTTTCATCTGATCCACGCATAATGTTAATCTAATCTGGTCAGCATTGCTACGTTGTTGTCATTGATTTTCTACTGTTTTTCTTTTCTAGGCAGGTGTTTGTAGCACACTGTTAGATGCAAAGTGGTTAAGTGACTGTTGAATATTTGTCCCTCCGGGAGCATAAAGTGATTACTGGACTTGACTTAACTGATCAACTGGCTTATTTATTATGGGTAAGAAGGAAAATCACATTGCTTATGAGTACCTGGCATTATCAAACTGTTGATGATGTTATTGTTGTTTCATCTATTTCTCGTGATGGACACTTCATTGCATTTTTTGATTAAAGCACTTCCTAATCTTTCCATCTAAGGTGAAACTTTGATTTTCCTAATTTAGTGATCCAATTAATCCCTGATGAGTTCGCTTGCTCCGGCATCATTTATACCGAAATCTTTGTTTTGAATTAAACAACAAGTTTTTCTCAACCAGGTGTAGCGCCAATATCTCATCGTAAACAGTCATCGAATTTGAGGAGATACAAAGGAGTAACTGTTGGGACAGTTTGATGCTCAAAGAAACCTTGTTGGCTAGGTTTTGTCTGTTAATCCCCAGAGTTTGGCTATGTGAAGTTCCCTCATTCAGATCGGTGTTCGAACCATTGCTCAGTTTTATCTGTTGTCGTCTATCTGTTGTTGCTGTTGTGCATTAATTTACACGTCCATCACTGAGGGAAAAATGTATGAAATGAGATCATCGCTCAAAATCGTTTGAAAGTAAGACACGATAAATCGGTGAAAATATTAGTAAGCAATTTTATTAATAATAATAATAATAACCTCAATAATAACATACATTCACTCACAGTTTCGCGGTTTACTTTATATCCCTATCGGTTAAGTAGTTAGAATCGCATTGATCTGACAAAGTTGGAGATTTTTGACACCTCACAGTACCCTATGAGGAGAAAGGCATTTTAGCGATCCCTTGTGTATAGCTAACTTGTGAAAGTGATACAGCATTCCACCCCACCCACCCCCCGTCCTACCCATAGCATATAACTATAACCCTTTATTTACCCTGACCGTGGCCGGGGCGAGAAAGTATTTAATCAATTAACACGTTATTTTTGACCAGGGCAGAATACCGATTGGTCGAATGCTAAAACAAGCAATTTTCATTTGCCTATCTTCAAACAAGAATGGAATGTTGTACAAATCATAAACGGTGTTTTTCAGTCGTATGAGCTGGTTCAGTTGCTGTACTCCCTTTAATGATTGAAGGTCACATAGGGTATGACTCGATGTGGATGCCGATCAATCACTTCATTCGAGTTCGGAACACATGGCGTTTCGTGTCTAAGTCCAGTGAACCAATCAGCAAATTTTCGTGTATGCTGATGGAAAGGACACAAGGCAACTAATCGCTTTAAGGAAAAAAGTATTAGTCGAACACTCACATATGCGAACAAATTTGCGAAAGAAAAAGCTGGAATGATCATAGGCAATACATAATTCTAATTAGTGGCCCAATGCTTGCTGTCTTCACGCGAGTCTTGACTGTCGGCCACTCAGACAGAGAGATGAGTAAATGTATTGACTCACAAGAAGTTGCCCAGATTGGTCGGCCGCGTGACAGTCACAGGCTCTGCGTGCACACTCTCGGATTCAATTTTCAGAACAGTCAACTAATTCCTAATGTTGCCCAGGCCATTCAATGCAGTTGGAACAGCTTTTCTGTCTGCATTTCATCTTTACCTTGCAAAGGGGAATGAAATTCACAGTTCAGTTCCGCCTCAATTTACGATAGCTTCTAGCATGTCAACATATGACGATCCCTGGTCACTCTAATCTATCTCCAGAAGTCACATGTTTGAATGCCATCGCAGTCAACACCCAACTTTCCCACATCGTTATTTCTTTACGGTGGTCCACTGACTGGTCCCTTAGTCCATGCTCCAGGCTTTAATGATGCACATTGATGGAGAAAGTTCAAAAGAAAACTGACCGAAGATTTTAAACACGAATGCTCATGGTACTCAAACTTCATTTCATTTATGTCGACAGTACTTATATCGATCAAATTATTCAGTATGGCCTAAGCACATATACCGTCAAACATAACGGCTTCGAGTTGTACGGTTCGTGGACATGGGGTTGGGTTGAGTTTTGTCCGATAGATTCTCAGTTGCTCAAGTTAAACGATAGCTTGTAAAAAATTTCTTCTTGAACATGTATCCGCAGGGAAACATTGAGTATACAGCACCCCGTGTTCACTTGGTTTACATTACACTCGAAATTTGTGAAGTTTTGACAACCGGACAACTTAGTTGATTTCGTTGAGCAGATGTTGCTTCACACGGAATATATTACTTATCCATTGTGAAAGATCACAAATAATGAAACTGAAGACCACTTGGTGGGTCATACATTGTTATAAGTGTTGCTATCGATCAGTCCCGCTTGCACAGGCAATGGGTAGTGATGTGATATTGATCAGTCCATTGTTGTCTCGGCCTGCCCTATCGGATAAGAGCATTACACGGGGCAAGGTGCAAACTGACTTGTATTGTGCTCTCGACGTTTGTGAGTAATTACACAAAGCGAAGCACGAACCCGGTAGCGCATCATATCCGTAAATTTACTTACGACCTCTACCAAACGGAAGGTGGAGTAAGGAAACGGGGATCTTGCCTCGGAAAGTGCCTGATCACAATTAGGGCGTATCCATAGTTGTAACAACCAGCTATTTCAGACACCATTCTATTCTTTAATTGACTGCTACCGTACTCGAAACTATGCAATACCACTGTTCCAAGTTAGTGTTTATATCGCAAAGTTTTATAGCTGGAAGTTTTATTATTGCGTCTCAGGACCTGGTAGGCGGTATATTTACAATGAGTAATGCATGAGTGACTGGGCAAAATTTCCCTCAACACTCAACCAGTTTCGCAGTCCTTGCCGCTCGTCAGGTATATATATGCCTGATTTCCGACTGTGTGCCAAAAAAATCACTGGAAAATCATATTTATGAACAAGAAAAAAATCCATGAATGCTCCAGAGAGCGATACTACAAGGTTGCCCAGACCAAAGTAGGAGCCTTCAGCTAACCAAAACCTGACCAGCAAGGCAGCGGGCGGTGTGTAGGAACCGCATTCTATTGGGGGCCGGAGTCTAGTCCATGGGATCAAACACCCTTTGGATGGGGGGGGCGAATGTTCGATGTGCCCAATCGAGTCGGTACACATTGCCACAACCAGGAGGATGCGTGTGGGGTTCGTACACCTCTTCTTGGTCCGTTGGAAATCACAGGTTTTAGCCAACCCGTCTAGGTGAACTGCCAGTGATTCACCGACCCGATTAAAGACTCTGGTATTGGTTTTTCGTCCCCTCACTTGGGTGGGGAAACACCTCTGCCACGAGAAGGCAGTGAGTAGGCCTACGTCAGAAAAATGTATTTGAGACGCTTGGTCCAGGAAGAGCATTTCGCGAGGTGTAATCGGGGGGAGTGGGAGGGGGTCAACCATCCGCAACCCGAGACACCCAACCCGATCATCTTGAGACTTCGGAGGCAAAACAACAGAGATAAGATAATTTTACACTTCGGGTTAAACTGTCCAAGAAGATTGAAAGCCGTAAAAACTGATTCGCATAATAGCTAGATATATTTTCCATAAATCAAGTTAGATCGTTTCAGAGCATTAGGATTTGTGCTGTATTTGGGCTTACTGGATTTGATTGATTGTTCAGAGGAAATTATTTACACTTAACACATCTTGGTCATCATATTTGATCTGCCTCAGGGTGTCTGCTGTTGTAAACATTGTTTTAAATTCCTGGGGCATAAGATGAGACACATGCTTGTTAAATTTGATCTTGGTGCGGAAAGACTCCTAACAGCCATGGAGACGCACTGGCTTATCAAATGGTTCATCATCAAAGGTTCCCTTCAAATCGGAATGCTCGCGTGAATATGATCTGTACAGTTATAGCTCACAAGATGTCACTTTTTAACACCAGAAATGTCCGCTTCAATAAAATATCGTTCATTGCCAGCAATGTTTACCTGCCCCCCCCCGGCAATCCACAATCCCCACCGTCAAGTGTGAATTCCGAAAATCCCGTCCCTATAGTGATTACATATTACAAGTGAACTTATGTGTTATTCGAATTCCCCTACAGAGGTCACTCATCACACGCTGAATCACTTGGTCACTAAAAGTGCAAAGCTATGTGATCATGACTCAAGTTCATTTTGGTGACCTCATCCTCATCGCTGAAGTACAAGGACAACTGGTCTGTGGAACTTCGAGCTCGTCCAGATATTTCTTATTAGCTACCGGAGATCTAGGAGAACGCCTAGTTCGATAGGAAGCCAGGGTGAATTCGTAGTTGGTGTGAGGAATCAGGGCCAATCCTTTCACTGGTAGACCCAGTGACAAGCTAATTGGCTAGTTCTGTAGAGTTGGCGACAGACAAGATCTTGACTCACGTGCGCTGGAGCCTTTCCTGGTGACCTTCATTCACGTTGGTTGGGCTTGTATATCGAACACAGATCTCCCTGGAATTTTGTTTGGACAACGCCTGTCGGAAGGAGATAAACAAATTTGAAGAACGAGTAAATATCTGCGTCCTACCAAAGGTGAACTCACCAGATCGAGAATCCGTCACACGGTGGTATCTGGAATGAAGCAAGCGTGGGTCGTTTCAAACTTACAGGAATTCCATAACTTACAAGCCGAAGAACGAATTTTTGATCACCCAACCATATGAATAACTGTAAACACGTTGATGCATGCAAACAGCACTGAACCTTTTTCATCACAGTTTGATGGTCATTCCGTTTCGGGAGATTGCATATTGATTCAGCTTGTTGCTTCTTCTGGGTTGAGAAAGACGCTCATCCGTTGTGATGCCGATAGTTTGCACGTGAAGCATTTCAGAAGTCTTGTGAAATGCAACCAAACGAGTTTAACTTAAAGCAAACCTTTAATCGTATCGTCAATTTTATCCTCTCAGTTGTGAGTACGACCATGTTGTTCTTGGGGCACGGAAAGGAGTGTGTGTGCGTCGTGCGGGGAGAGAGGAGATTACGTTTAAATCAAATGCGGTTCACAAACGGAACATACAGTCAGTAAACCGGTTGAATGATTCAATCGGTGGGAGTGTTTGTGTGTGTGTGCTTGCTTGCTTGCTTGTGTGCGTGCGTGTGTTGGATGCGGTTAGATGCGCTCGAATCTGCCCAAACTCCATCGTTTAATCCCACAACTTGAAATCTTTTCACTCTTGGATAAGTACAAATCGAGTCACATCTAGAATGATTATGATCGATAGGTGGGCGCTATTTTCGAACCTGGCATGCAATTTCCGTATTTCCGAATAACTGGTAAACCGAAAATCCGTTCATTACAAATACGAAAATTATGGCAATGCTACGCTAACGGATCGATAAAAGGATAGTGAGAACCGTAGAATATGCATCCCCATTGATTTACGTTCTTTTACCGCATTTGTTACCTTGGTTTTATCGCATAATACAAACTCTCTGTCAAAAATCATTTGCCAGTAATGTTCTTTTACTCACTTCCAGAATTTTTACATTCGTACTGCACATCACTTCGCAGTTATTGCTCTTTTATTTCTCGTTCTGATGGTACCATGTGTTACTAATTTTATTTTTGGTAATAATAATAATAATAATAATGTACTTCCTTTCACCAAATGGGCAACTATGCAATACATTATCAGGATGGAACAACAGTTCAATCAAGATGCAGTGAAATGATAAATTTCGGTGGCGGTGATGGTGGTTCGAACACATTACCTCATGGTACTGACCTCATGTACCTCATGTACTGACGGTCCGTACCCCTTTATCACAGCGACCCACTGTTTCTCCCAAACTGAATTACTAAACATAATGTTGTTGAGATTGTGAAAAGTTCCCTAGTCCCGGTGAGATTTCAACCCATGCATGGACGCCGCCTACACTTTCGGTGGACTCCGGTGAATTCTACGGAAAATCTGTCATGGCAGTCAGCCTACATGCTAGCTGGTGGATGCCATATGTCTCTGTAAGTTGAATGGGTAATTCGAATGTGAACAGATCAGTGCTATCGGTGTGGCAGCATAAATCATTTAGTGGAGCGTGCACTACAAAAGCGTAGGCGGCGTCCAAGCGTGGGTTCGAATCCCACACAGGCTACTGAAATTTTCAAAATTTCAACTTAAGACTGTCGAACAACAGTGTAAATACTGTTACTTCACAAACACAGCAAACACCAAGCACGCAGTTCGAAGTGAGTCGATGCACGATCCGACTATTGCCATTCATCTGGTTTCCTTTTCATCCGAACAATTATTCCACTTGCAAGTAAACGTCGTTATTACTTTGGAATATATTATTCACATTGTTTTTCAATAATTGTGCCCTTACTCTATCCAACATAGACCTCCGATTGACAACCAGGACCATACTTCGATTCACAAATTTTCCAATGTCTGATCCTTCTTCAGTCCCAACCTCAATTCCCTCCGACTCCCTAGGTTTGACTGACTTCTTTCGCACGCTTCATGTTCAGTCTGCTACACAAGTCTTTGGTAAACCCCGCATGAATCCAATAAGCTGGATAGCAAATTTATGATCTCCACGTGTACATTAGGGTGAACCATTTGTCCCCAAGATCCCNGAGGAGCGCACACCCATTGGGCGTGTGTCTTGACTCGATGCTCGTTTAAGTGGACTTTGAGTTTATGAGAAGACTGAGAAGGAATGGACCAGAAAAACACCACCACCCGGAGTGAAAATGGAGGGGGGGAGCAAGAGGCGAAAGAATATGGATTTGCACATCCTGATGTGGGTACCATCTTACTCCCAGTCTCCCACCGGCATGTTACAATTTGCGGGCAAGAAGAACATGTCATGCAATACGATTAGTGACTTGGCAACTCAATACTGTTCTTGTGGTCTACTCAAAGTTTCACCATGAGGGTAGGACGGAACTGGATTATCAAAATTCATTCGTCTTTGAGAATGGAGTACGGTTCTGAATGGCTCGCGTGGCTGAGTATGAATTGGTGTGTGATAGGGACAGCAACAACTTGATCTCTTGAGCAAACCCAGCCAATCTGCGGGCCGTCCGTTGTCACGTGATCGAAGTTAATCCCCCGCCTGGTCTCCATACGGTCTGTGGAGTGGCTGATTAGCAGCCAATGCTGGACATGTGTGTCTGTCCCGGGGAGGAGGGGTGGGGGGTGGCAGCGATGGAGACTGCTCCATACCAAGAAGATGGTAAACTAACGTCTCAAATGAACAGGACTAATCGATTCGCATATGGGCGACTTGATGCGATTAGCAGTCGTACTGTGCACGTGTAAATCGCCACGTGGAAAGTTTCATTTGGAGGAACTTTATAACACATGTGGGCCAGACAAAAAATAATTATTGTGAATTTTTGGAAAAAGAATGTTCCACACAATTCATCAGTCTGAAAAAATATGGGTTCTTAGCAAATCCCATAGTTTAGAATAAATAATCGAACCTACACATATGATAGGCTCTGATAAAGGTAATATTTGTGATTCTGTGTACACTGCACTACATACCATAACTTAATGGCGAACCACTGGGATCGATAATAAGCAGAAAATCACCAGGACGGATCATGTGTGTGTGCCGAACGATGTATGAAGTGAAATCTTGGAACAATAGTACCTCTAATAATAATAATACCAACAGTCCTTTACTCTAATTGAGCGAATAGATTATTTCGGTACTTCTCACCAAGCCATTATAGAACAGAGTGCAATACGTGCAATATGACATGACACAATGATGAGTAGTTTTTTTATTGTAAGCAAAGATAATGTGATGGTTGATTTTGGGAACTGTGTAATCGGGCGGACCAGTTACGGATAGATCAAACTGACATCACACAAGAGATTTATCGAGGCCGTTCATTTCACACGAGACACATTTCCCTATCGAATGTTTCTCAGTACTTGGGGTGGATATTCAAATTCCAAACTCATTTAGAACAACCGAAGATTACCTCAATTTTGTAACGGATGCCAATATTATAACCCAAAATTTGTTCTGGGTTTCGAAAACTGTCGTATGGTGAATGATGCATTTCGTTGGAGCTCTTCACACCGTTTCAAACAGCGTTGGTTTGACAGAGATATTTTATTGCGTTTCGTATATGGGATCAAAATGATCAATTTGATTTTCAGGTTTTTGACAGAGTAGAGATTGTGTTGGTGATTCTATGTCGGCTACCGGAGTGTAATCAGCAAGCAGTACACAAAATGGTTGCGAATATGGGTCGTATATCGATCCGGCACGATCTATTGTTGTTGAAGGAACACGGCACAGAGTAGATTATTGTTCAGTGGGAGGGGAGGGGCGGGTCGGAGCTGAACAGCAATACACCCGGACCTATAAGCACAGGCGCAAACCAAACGGTTGGGTTTGGGGATTGAGCGGACTGAGGGCTGTCTCACACCGTCCTCCCCCAACCCAAACCCCTTTCTCAGGGGCGCTGTAACAAAAAGCTCCAGTCCACGTGGCAAAGTCAAAGACAATCAAGAAAAGCACGTAAATCACACTCAAATATCGTCAAGGCCCAGTGGTTGTCAACACGTAGCCCGGGGGGNGGTTGGGTGCGCCCACTAACATAATTAACAATGTGTCCACGCTTTTGGTTCATCAATTCAGGTCCTTTAAAATTCGTCAGAGCCTTCGCGACCGTGAGTTTACTTTTGAAAATAAATTTCCCCTTCTCAAGCACCCACTTTTCCTACGTCAGCATGAACATAGTACACATGCCATATTGCATTACATCCTCCCATTTCCTGTACCACCACGGCAACTAACTATTCCGGAATCCGATTCTATCGGTAAGGGAAGACGAATGGAAAGTGGCTCACTGTTCTGATTTCAATCACTTCAATGTTGACTAATCGTAAACTATACTCCATTGACTACAAACGAACAATTTCCTGATTCACTTTGTGGTGAAATTCTCCTGTATTTAAAACGTCATTGAACGAATGAATACATGTGGGTTAACGGAGCAGTTATCAGTCATTTTTGACCGGATTAAACTCTAGAAAAACGATAGTGTGTTTATTTATACCCGTAGTGATTACGATTACGGACTGTAGATAACAAAACTTCTAGTATTCCCAATTTCACCGCTTGACGATTGGGAAAATTTGTTGAAAAAACAAGGAAGATAGAAGGTAACATTGTATACGGAACTGCGTAAGCTTTCAAAATTAGAAAAAAGAAAGTTGGCATAATCAGTAAAGATCAGTAACCAACATCATCTCAACATACTTCATGGATTCCGCCCTGAGTAACCGAAGGTTGTGAACAGTAGGTGGATTGAGCAAGAAAGAATGAACAGCAGTTTTAAACTAAAGGTCTCTCTGGTCATCAAACTATACACAGTTGTCATTATTAGTGATAGAAGGATCAACAAAGTCTTCACCGGTCGATACTGCATGACACATAGTTGTGCAGTGAAAATACTCATTTCGAGTCCGAAAAGAGCTGAAGAGAGAGGTGAGTGACATCACTGCCGAAAAGAAAAGCCTATTAGGCTGCAAATAAGAGTGGAAAAGCTCCCCACGAAGGGACTGTGCGAAATACAGCCCGGTGTAAACTATGGGAACCAGCCCCGTGTAACAGTGTGAGGACAAAGCACAGTTTGCTCCTCCATTCA